CTGCAGTTGACAGTCAGTTGAACCTAGGTCTTTATTTGAGTTAGAAGTCCTTATCTTCAGAGTCATTGTGTGCTGTTTTGTTCCACTCACACAGAGGAAGGAAGAGACAAAACGAGTGCAAGTGCAATAGCAAGATCTGTCTTTTGCAGGTTTTCTGAAGATTTGAGTGCAAACACCTTCTCTCAGTTCTGTGACAATCTGCAACTTCGCTATCCAAAAGCTGTTGCTTGGCAGTTTTTCTGTTTAATCCAATGGCACCAGGTACTTGCATATTTCACAACAGATCAAATCCAGATTCGCCAAAGTTGGCGACCTTGTGTAACCAATAAGTGAACGCCAAAGAGTTCCCGGCTTGACCTTCTGGTTGCGAACAAAACAACTGGTTCATTCGCTACAGCACAGCACAGTCCTTCTAACATGGACCAGAAATAGTTAAGGGCCCACCATTGATCCTTGTTGTACCTCACTGGTAATAACTTACCAAAATGAAAAGGAACAGTTTATTCATACTCTCTGCTGCCTACCTTTTAACTAGTCCTGTATTGATGCTGTTACACACAGCTTTGTGACCCCTTGACTTGTTTACCAACTATTTTAGTGTGGCACATTTTTGAATACTGTTAAAATCTAGATATACTACATCTAATTATTCCCTTTATCTATCCTACCAGTTACATCCACAAACTTATTAAATATCTGTTAAACATTAGGCATATTTTCTTAATAATGGATTCCAATATTCCTACAACGAATTATGTGAGGCTAACTGGCCTGTAGTGCCCTGCTTTCCTTCTCCCTCCTTTCTTGATAGTGGCATACATTTTCTAGCTTCCAATCCAACGTGACAATTTTTATGAGCTTCTCACACTTTTGTTAGAGGTGAGTAGGAATGAGTTAGGACCAAAGAAATTAATAAGAAACATGTACTGGGAAAGCAGGGGTTATCTTGGCATTGCAATATGATGCTAAAGCAGTGAACAGTTTTGGTCAAGGACAACAAAACCTGCTAGCAATTTATGTGGTCCACTCAGAACAAGCAAATAATGGTTCAATTAGCATTGACATTGAAATCTGTATTTCTTAGACTTAAGAGAAACAGTTGATGGCCATACCAGGAGAAAGATCAAGGTGAGAAAGGAATAATTTTAATGGGGACAAGGGCATCAAAATTTATTCTGAAAATGTGATTCAGCAGATCGGTGGCTGTAGAGATGTCAATCTCAGATTACAATCTCATTTAACACCTTGATAGTTCTAAAAAAATTATTTAAGCACGTTGCAGAATCTAGCCAAGAATATATTTTATCATGTTTTAAATATTGTGACTGTACTTCCATAAATTATGTACAACCCATTTTGTTATCAAGCATCATTAATAACTTAATATCAACTTTGAGAAAAATAACATAACAGAATAAATAAATTGGAAAATCAAAGTGCATGGAAGAGATGAGGAACAGCACGGAGACACAGCTTCCCAACTTCTCACTAATGCCTTCCTCTCTTTACTGAATACTAACTTAATTCATATTACTCCTTTGTAAATTTGTCAGAATTAAAAATGGGTTCAAGTGTGATCACTGCACTTGTGAAATTTAAAACTGCGATTGTGAAAGTATAAATAAATTAGCCAAATAATGAGCACTTTAATTGAAGAGGCATAAGCTCTATTTTGAAATTGTTCAGGTGAAATAGTAACTCACTGTTGGCTTCTGACTAATCAGTAGCATTTTTATCTCAAATTACTGGGAAACGGATTCAAATATCTTTGTTCAACTGTGTACTGAAGGGCCCTGCAGGCAAAGGCTTATGTACATTAATCTGCAACATAATACTTCCACGGGCTGAACTAACTAATATTTTTTTCCTCAAGAAGTATTTCTGCTTTTTTCACTGTCCAAATTATTTCATACTTGTGTAGAATTTTTGACTCAATCTGGACAAGAATTGTAGCAAAGTCTGGATGAACTCCTTCCTTTCATATAAGCACAATTAAAGAAAAGAACCATATCCTCATCCAATTACAAAAGCCATAGGGGGAGTAGGAAAGAAAAAAATAATCATTATCTCATAGGTTGAGAGTGCTCTCTTCCAATTGAGACAGTACATGATAATCTTTTTTACTTTACCATAGATCACAGAACTGTCCATTAACTGTTAAACTTCTAGAGCACGAAGCAGAATTTCCCAGTTGGACTATTCTGTTGGCATGGTAACAATTCCTTAAAAATCAATATGATAAGCATGTAATTTTTCCTTAATTCTTGATCTATAAATATATTCCATACAGAAGGCCCTATATGTTAAAGGCTTTGATAGGTTTACATGCCAACAAAATGATCATACCAAAAGACTCAATTTATATCAAAAATTTTATTAATTTATTGACATATGGGAGGAATGAATATTGGGATTCACAATTAACCAGCAGAATGGATGCAATAGTTTTAGTCTAATTGATTTTGTACTAAATCACAGATCTGTACATGAATGGAAGCAGACAGATTTATCTTAGGCCGGACAGAATTGCACGTTTGTACATTGGTCCAAGCTTACCGTACGTTAACACATAGATGAAAGCCATGCAGTTGTAGCTCATGCCTGGTCTATTATTTTGCAATACACATATAAGTAATTTTTTAATGTTCTATTTATACCACAAATTAATTGAAATAGCAGGAGCTTTTAAGAAGGAAAATAGTCAATATGTGATATCACAGATACGAGGTGACAATGAATGTCAGAGAGTTAATTCATGCTCTATAAATTCTGATTTGTTACCTCCAGTTGACAAAGGTTTACAAAAATCACAAAGGGATAAAGTTATTGTACATATGCAATATATAAATTGCCATTTTAGTAAAAATAGTTTACTCCAATTTAGAGCAATAACTTGGCACACTTAAAAGTAAACATATTAAAAATAAAATCTGATTGATTAAATGCAACTTGTCTCTATAATCCTAAATTAGATATTTGTGAACATGTATGACACTCAAAATGTTTCTACATTTGCAATTCTATGAATAGTTTGCTTACATTTTCGCTAACAATAAAATGGTTTACACGAGATGCAGACTAGCAAAACAATTACCATGCATTGTTCTAGTGTTGAAATTGCAGGATTTCCCTTTGTTCACTCATGTCATTGATATTACAGCTACCTAAACCTCCCCAGTCTGTGGATTGCAGCATCTACAATAATTGTAAAATAAACGTCAACAATGTTTAAAAACTTCAGAAAATCTAATGGAAAGTAAGTTCCAGGCTGGCTTATGTCTATGTCAAAATTATGTTAATATGGAGCAAACTTAAATTTAGAGGGAGCTGCAGCTGCTTTGATGATAATCTCTAAGGATGACACGCAAGATGGAAAAGTAAGGAAAGGAAGGGTAATCCGAGTCGATACACAACCAACAAATGCACTGGTGTTAGTATCACTTGCTATTTCTATTTTGTCACTTTTACATCCTTTTATTTTCTTGCCTCTGGTCCTTAGCAGCTATATCAATTAAAAAGCACATATACAGATCTACATGTAAAAGCCTTTTTAAGACTGAATCACAGGAAATTATTAGTACCGTAAAACACTTTTTATCACTAAGATGCAGCAACGTTTCTTCAGTAATTGCCCTTCCTTCATGTTCAATTTACAATCTTTCTATCTGGCTCTGTGATGTACATATCTGTGTACCTTCAATAAACATATAGCAATAAATTTGCAATGAATTTATAAACTTTATCCCTTGTTTGCCTAAAGCTGAGAAGCAGTGGTTACAAGAATTTTAAATAGAACACGTAATCACAACTAATTACCACTCTTTCTGGGGAAAACACCATGTGTTTCCAAGTAATGCATTTTATACATACAACTAAATTATGCATACATGTACACATTAGACTTATGGATCCTCAGACAAACACATACAAAGATTATGCAGTTAGAAATGGTGTGTTTCACACAGCGTACTCAGCAGGAAATTGCATATTTACAGGAAAGATTGCTTTATTTTCCAAAAGCCAAAGATGTTTGCCTTTAGATAATGGAGGAAGAAGAACAAATGCTAATACCAAATCATGGTTGATTAATTAGAATATATATGCAATATCTTTATAATTAAACCACGCTGACAATATCATTCTCTGTGAATGAAAAGAAAGCCTGTGACTTTGCAAAGAAAGAATTGGTGAACATTTTTTTAGCTTCTTCTACTAGTTACAGAACATTTGAATATGGAGAATGTCAATTTTCAAGTGAATGCTGAGTAAAGATGATAATAAACAGAAAATAATTATGGATAAGTATTTTAAAATAAACATTGCTAAGCCTTATGAAGATATACCAGCAAAGTTAGAAATCAGTGTATCAAGAAATCAAATCCAGCTCTATTCCAACTGGTCAAGCAATTTTGCAAGAATCATACATCGGATACAAACTGATAATTGATAGAATTTATTTCCTCCCAAAAAACTTTCTTTGTTAAGTTTTAGGTTAAGGTTTGTTTATGTTTTTATCTGTGTGCCCTACTGGGATTTAACAGATGTATATGTCACATTTCCCATTTGTTGACTTGTTTTTTGTTTTAAAGCATACAAAAACAACAATTTTAATATGGATTGATGGCAATCGGAAAAAGGTTTGTTGATGTTACCACTACAAAGTTTCCTAGAAAACAAAAAAAAAACTGCAATTGCCCACTTGACACTTTTCAGACATGGAAATAAATGGCATTGCACCTACCAAGTCTTTTATCATTTTTAGTTAAAAAAGGGTAAACGTGATGAAAATAGATCTAGTGTTCACCGAGGTCTCGGGAAATAACACTATCGCATTCTTTTAAAAAATGTCGCGTCCAGAAATAGTGAATTGATTAACTTTGGAAGAGGCTTATTTTAATTTTAAAACAAAAGAGAACATTTAGCAGAGGCTGCTGCTGACAGCTCAACTCACTCACTTCAAAATGGAGGCCGGCAGGAGACGGACGGGGGGCTTCACTTACCAGAGTCTGAGGGCTCGGCTCAGTCCGGGAGACCTGTCCCCTCGATCAGATCTTGTCAGGGATGAGGTCCGGTCCTCCCGGCCGCTCTCGGCTTTTCCGTTGGGCCGGGGGAGGCGAGGCAGCGCCCGGAGAAACCCTGTAGGCCGCTCCCCATCTTCGCCGAACCGGTTTATCATCTGGGTAAGTTTCACATTTTTACCACCCCCTCCCCCCACCCCCTCTGGATGTCCTGGAAACACCCTCCCAAAAAACACACACACACAACCCGAAAAAGTGCCCGATTATGTTTTGTTGCTGTTTATCTCCTTGCGGCTGCTCATCTGATGAGCAGCTCCCTGCCCTCGCCGTTGCTAGGATACGGTCGCTGCAGCTTCTGAGGGAGTAACTGCCATTTAAACTCTCGCTCTTCCAACAAAACACCTCGCTTCCTCACTGATCATCTAAAACCTCGTTCTTCACCGCCTGAAAAGCAAAGTGCACCGCTGGCCAGCCGAGCTGAGGAAAATCACTCGCACCAATTCTGACTTAATAGTTTTTCTGAGTGAAAAGTAACGGGCAACCAGCCAGATCTGTGTCCCACACACTTTACAAAGGCAAGGCAAAAACATGATTGAAAAATTTACCCCCTAGCTGGAAAGGAACTTCATGCAGCAAACTGTGCTCCTGAGCTGGTACTGTGACATATACCATTCGTGGCAATATTCTTGGAAAACGTAGGAACAAATGTTAGAATCTCATGCCCTACCTTACCTACTTTAATCACTGAATTAAAACCATCCTTTTAACTATTCACCTTTTATAGGTTGTGTTCTTACCCACTTATGCATTTTATCTTTGCAAAATGCTTAGGTACAGCTGCCACTGCAGAACTTTTGTGTGTGTGCTTAGTCATCACGCTGTGTAGGGGAATATGATCATTATCTTCTCATTGCATTAAAAAACCATAATCAGCATTAAGTTCTTCACTGATCTGTTTATTCCGGCCATGTCATCAGTTTGCACTTTTACTTTCACTGTCATTTGAACTTCCCAGTGGAAATCATTACCTAAGAAAAATTTGTGTTTTAAATGTTTTTGTACTGTGGTTCAAATGTTGTCTGGTAATATCTGTCAAAAAAGCTTCAGATGCTGTTGGCACAATAAAAGAATCGTTTGGAAACAGCTGTTGAACATCTCATCACATACAAGGTCGTTCATTAAAGATTTTAGCTTACAATTTGTATTTACTTTTTGTATTTTTTTTTGTTCTTTCATAGGATGCAAATACTGCCAGCAAGGCAAGCATTTGTTGCCTAACCCTAATTTTCCTTCTGAAAGTGATAGTGAGCTTACTTCTCAAACTCTTGTGGTCCATCTTGGTGTGGGTGTGCAATGAGTAACAGTAATGTAGCTCCAACTCATAACTGTGATGGTGTTCATGTGTGTCTGATTCCTTTATCCTTCTAGGTGTTTCGGGCTTCAGGTTTGGAAGATGCTATTGAAAAAGGGCTGACAAATTTCTGCAGTGCATCTTAGTGCTGACAGTGTTTCTGAACAATATTAACCCCTAGGATGCTAACAAAGGGAAATTCAGTGATGCTAACACTACTAGATTAAAACAAAGAACTAAAGATACTGGAGATCTGAAACAAAAGTAGAAATAGCTGGCAAAATCCAGCAGCTCTGGCAGCATCTGTAGGACTTGAAATGTTAATTTTGCTTTCTTCCCACAAATGCTACCAGACCTGCTGAATTTCACCAGCAATTTCTGGTTTTGTTGACACTACTGAGTGTCAAGAGCAGATGGTTACATTCTGTCTTGTTGGTGATTGTTACTGCCAAGTATTTGCCTGGCATAATTGTTTCTTGCCACTTATTAAGCTTAACATATCCACCTTTGTCCTTACAATTCAGGGAAAATTGCGGATGAAGCAGCTGAAGACACCACAGGGAGGACCTTCGGAGCACTTGTGGTGCAGTGGTAGTGTCCCTACCTCTGGAGCAGATGGCCTCAGTTCAAAGCCCACCTGCTCCAGAGGTGTGTACTAATATCTCTGAACTGATTGATTAGAAAATATCTACACAATGGAATTCTTGTAGTGACTCCTAGGCCTGAGATGCTTGGCTTCTATCAACCACAATCCTCTCTTCATTTGTGTGAGGTCTAACTCCAACCAGTGGAGAGATTTTCCATTGATTCTCATTGAATTCTGTTTTGCTACGATAGTCAAATGCTGTCTTGATGTCAACAGCAGTCACACTCTTTCAGGGGCTGTGGGTTTCAACAGCTATGCCGATATTTATTGCCCATCCCTAATTGCCCAGAGGCTAGTTAAGATTTAACCAATTTGCAGTGGTCTGGAGACAGATGTAGCCCAGATCCCAGTAAGGATGGCAGATTTCCTTCCCTAAAGGATACATGGTGGCCAATATGTTAGTTTTTCATTCTATATTTTTACTGAATTCAAATTTTACCATCTGCTGTGGTAGTCTTTGAACCCATGCCTCCAGAATATTAATCTGGTGTCCAGTTGCATTATCACTATGTCACCACCTTCATCTTCTAATGGAACCCAAACTAAGCAATCAGTAAGCAGGTATTAACTGTGTATGTGTTACTTGATAGATGACACCTCCCATACGTTGGCTGATGCTCAAGAGTTGACTGAAAATCAGTTAGATTAGATTTATCCTGCTTTTATGGAGCTGGATAATTTTACATATTGTTAGGTTAATGACAGTTTAGCTGCACTGAAACAGCTTTGCTAGGGACACTGTTATGTCTGAAGCACAAGTACTTCAGTACTGCAGTTGGTATGTTGTCAAGGTCCATTTGCTTTGCTATATGCAGTGTTTCTTGACATCAGCTGGAATGAATTAAATTTGTTGAAGACTGGCATCTGTGATATTGGGGACAGCAGGAGGAAACTGACATGGATCATCCACTTCTGGCAAATGATGGTTGCAAATGTTTCAACCTTCTTTGAAGAAAAAAAATGTTTTCTCTAATTCCAGTTTATTTTACTGCTGGAGCGCATGTGTAAATTGATTAATTATTTCTTTTTGTTTTGCGTGGTCTTTCAATCTCCCTATTCCAGAACTGAGTTCACAAGACCTGTCAATATGAGCTTGAAAATATACTCATCCCTCAAGCAGTATCCAAAAAAGACAGAAACACAAAAATAAAAGTCAGATTTTTAAAAACAGAAATGTGGAATTTGTTATTATTTGTATGGAAAATGAACAATGCTGGCAAAAGCATGCTTTCTTTCCATCCATAGTTGTCCTAAAGTGGCACTGGGCCTATTTTTTTCTGAACTGTGGCATTGTGCATACTGATAATGTTCCCACAATTGTATTATGTAGGAATTTCCAGATTTTAAAATCAGTATGCGAACAAATGGTAGTAAATGTCCAAGCAAGTCAGAATGGTGTATGTCTTGGAGGGGACCTCGAAACCAGCAGTATTTGCATAATCTTGTTGCTGTTGTCCTGTTTGATAGTAAAGATTGTGGAATTGGTTAGTATCTCTTGTGAAAGACGGCACCTTCAACATTGTAGCATTCCCTCTGGGCTCAACTGAAATGTCAGACTAGGTTGCATACACAGGACCTCATGTGTCGCTTTAATCCATATTCTTCTGACTCAAATACAAGAGAATTACCCTGAGTCAAACTGACATCCTGTTGTAACTGAGTTAGAGTAGGAGAATTCATTGGAGGACTCATTTCAAATTTACATCAAGCAGGACAGATGGCACTAAATCTCACTGCTTAATTTCATCCCCCTTTTCAATGATAACCTGTTCAAGTTTGCACTGGATAGGAAAATTAAGTTTGCCACATAGAATTGTTGGATTCATTTAAAATAGGGAATTGGCAACACGTCAGTCTTTTCTCACTTTTATCATTTGCCTCTTCATAACAATTTTAACTCCAATTGAACTTGTTTAAAACAGCACAGAAGTGGTAAAGTGCTTTTTAAAAAATGGCAGACTATGTACAGTTCTGAACCATTTTTGGCATACATGTGTAATAAATTCAGAGTTTTTACTGTTGTCCCTGTTCTGAGATCTGAGCTGTGCAGGACCTTATTAACATGTTCTTATTTCAGTGTTCTTGTTGCTTTTGATGTTCTAACCTTGTTGTGTTTGATGTTCTTTTTGAGATAATTAATAGCTAAATCTAAAATCTAAAATCTTGACTGGCTAAATCATGTAAACAATATCTGACTGAAAATAAGATTTTGCTTTCCTGTTAGTGTTTGACAACAGGATGACTGGAACGTAAGCCTTTTCTAAAATAAACACAGACGGCCCTTTGATCTTTAACAGTAGCTCTTAAAATCTGGTTTATTGCACAGGGTTGCATCTGTGTACTATACACCGAGGCATTCAGAAAGTTATGCCATTAGCATCTCAAAGGAACACATTCAGACTACAGTTGCCAGCATATGCAGCAGATTTAAGCACAGAATAGGTTTAAAATGGCAGATGGTATTCAGATTCCCAATTAAACACTTGCTATTAGAATTTTTAGAAACATAATAATACATAATCGTATCTGGACGTAATGAATCAAGTTAATTAGAAAATACTTTTCCTAATTATTCAAAGTTTTTAAGTTCTATTTTTATTGCGTTTGTAAATATAATTGCCAGTTTAGTGACAAATATATAAGCTCTTGCCTAATTCACTTCACCATTCTTGATGTTTCAAAGCTACATCGATTCCTTATAGTCAGCAAAGTCCAATGAATCTCAAATGTACTGAGAATTGGATGAATTTTGGTTGTGCAGCTGCAGTTTGACTTTAGGTGAGCAATTTGTGCATGTAATACATAAAATCAAACAGCCACAGAATGCATTTCTGTCATTTTTCTTTACTTTTTTTTAGAATAAACTTGTTTCTGCTCAGTGTGTCTTTTAAGATTTTTTTTTACATTAAATAATGAGATTAAGCTAATATCAGTTTGTAAAAATGTTTACAGAAATACTGCAAATACTAAAATAAAAAACAGAAAATGCTGGAAATACTCAGCAGGTGGAATCTCTAGGGAGAGAAACAGGGAGTTAATGGGCTAAATTTTCATTTGGCTGAAGAACTGAAACTGAGCTGGGTGGGCTGGCAATTT